ATATGGCCGGCCCATTACCCCTTTAGCTTACTAATCCGTTGGTCTACGTCCGTTTACGGACATTTGGAGTGCGAAACCTATCCAACTAAACGTAAAATCCCTGAAACTCTTCACCGCTGCATTGTTGTTGACGAGTATGTTTACCTGGGACAAATAGTCCGACTAGGCAAGTCTAGCTTCGACCGAGAGGTCGATCAACGGATTCAACTCGGCTGGGCAGCGTTCGGCAGATAACGACACATCTTCTCGTCAGGCATACCTCAAAACTTCAAAACAAGCTTGTACAACCCGTGCGTACTGCCAGTAACGACCTATGGATCTGAGACGTGCTCCTTCACTGCTGGCCGTATGAAGAAGCTCAAGGTCATTCAGCGAGCTTTGGAGAAGGCTATATTCGGGGTTTCTCTACGTGGTAACTTAAAAACGAGGATATTCGCAGTAGAAGAGTAACCGACATAGCTCAACGGATTAGGAAGCTGAAGTTAATTACATATAAGAAATTAATTTTATTAAGTAACTTCCGAATACCTTATAGTTTGATTTTTTCACTAATTATGAGTTACATTACAATCTTACTTTATGGCAAGCGATGATAAAGCCCTAGATGATATTTTGCAACTTAATAGAAGGCTTTTCATTCTTGCTTTGATGACATTCAGAATGTGTTCTAACGGAAATACAGGAAGTATAATTTTATTCCTTCTAAGCATATTTTATAGAAAGATGGCTATGAAATTAATAAGTTCTTTATAAATAACGTTTTTAATACAACAATAATACGTAGTACTTATATATAAATGTACGCCGTGTCAATACTGAAAAGAGTATTAGTAAATTTATAAGGCATCTATTTCTAAGCTCAGGGGCTACGCGCTCGCTGTAAATGTCATAGTACACTAACAACCAGGGTTCTATTCCCACTCGCAGCAATGAAACTGTTAATAAAAGTAAAAGTAAAGTTACAGCCTATATACGTCCCACTGCTGGGCTCAGGCCTCCCCTCATTTCTGAGAGGGTTTAGGGCAAGGAAGTGTCCGCCGCGCTGCCCAAATGCGTGTTGACGAACTTCACATGTCTTCGAAATATTTTTTTTTCTTATTCCTCAGACATGCAGGTTTCCTCACGATGTTTTCCTTCACCGCCGAGCACGTGGTAAATCAGCACTTAAAATTGCAATTAACAATTTCATTGGTGCCGGCGGGGATCGAACCCGGGTTACTCGCGTTCTGTTATATTTACAGCGAGCGTTAACCACTGAGCTACGACGGCTCTTCCAACACCACTATTCCAGGTAAGACACACCATCGACGACAATACGACACGTGTTTCGCCTCTACACGAGGCATCCTCAGGTAATGTAGACTCTACGGCGACTGACCGCTAAGTGAGTAGTGGTGTTGAGAGTAGTGGTGCTGGGACTAGTGGTGACGGAGTTAGTGCATGCAATTGAGGGAGGGCGGGAGGTGCTCTTCAATCCAGGTAAGACATCATTGTAATTAGTTAGCGGAAGGTTGCAAAGTAATAAATTATTTATTATAATGGATTTCCGCAAAGTAACGCCTGATTCTATCAATTATAATAATTGCAGTTTCTAGTGCTGACGGCTAGAGTCAATGAAGGAAAACATCGAGATGAAATCTGAATGTGTGAGAAATAAAAACAAAAATATTTCGAAAATAAGTCCACCAACACGCATTGGGGCATCGCGGTAGACACTTTCTTGCCCTCTTAGGTAAAACCATGACTGGAGGCCTGTGTCCAGGAGTGAGACGTATAGGCAGTGGCGTAGCGTGGGGGTGCCCAGGCGGGGGGCATGACCCCAGGCGGCATCCGCAATGTTACGCGCCAAGCGAAGTTAGAGAGGAGGCGAGATGAAGTCGAATGCCGCCAAAGTGCCACCGAAAACGACCCGGCGCCTAGCTGACCGGCACTGCGGCGGCGAACTCACGCAAACGAATCAACAAGCGACAGCAGGTACTCAGTTATTCAATCAAACAAAACAATCACTGCTGAACATAGGCCGAAGGAATGTCACAAAGCACGGTCCCGAGCCACTTGCATCCACCGACTTCCTGCATGTCTTACCAGGCCGTCACTCCAACTAGTGCGGGGACGCCCTACGCTTCGCCTGCTCGTCCAAGGCTGCCACTCGAGAACCTTTCATCCCCATCGGTTGTCGGTTATTCGAGCTATATGGCCGGCCTATTGACTTTAGCTTACTAATCCGTTGAATTATGTCAGTTGCTCTGGTTCTGCTGCGGTTATCCTCGTTTTTAAGGCTATCATGCAAAGAAACTCCGAGAACAGCCCTCTCCATAGCTCGCTGAACGACCTCGAGCTTCATACACCAGCAGTGAAGGACCACGTCTCAAATCCATAGATCAACACTAGCAACACACCCTGATTGTACAATCTCGTTTGGAGTTTTTGATGTATGCCTGACGAGAAGATGTGTCGTAATCTCCCGAATTCTGCCCAGACAAGTTTAATCCGTCGACTGACCTCCCGGTCAAAGTTGGACTTACCTAGTCGGACTATTTGTACCAGGTAAACATACTCGTCAACAACTTCGAGCTTAGTGCTACCAACAAAAATTGGCATAGGTGTGACGTGGATGTTACACCTTTATTTGGTCTTAAGACCAATCCGTTGGGAGATAATATTAAGGACGTTGTGCATAGTGCTTTGTTGCTTTTTTTCATCCTCCAGCAATTCCGCCATTTGAAAAATATCGTCAGCAAAACGAAGATGAATGGTGTGCTCGCCATATACCGTACCCTTTTTTAGTCCAGCTGCTTGAAAATGTCTTTCAATCCGGTGGTGAAGAGTTTCGGGGAATCAATTCACCCTGTCTTACATCTCTTTGCATTTGGACAGGTTTCGTACACTGGTTCTACTCGGATAGCCATCGTAACCCTACTGTACAAACACTTCAGCATTTCGATATACCAACAGTTAACTTGGCATCGCTGAAGGGATTGCAGCACTGTCGAAATTTCGACGGAATCAAAGGTTTTCTCATAGTCCACATACTCAAGACAAAGTAGCAGATTGTACTTTTTGGTCTTCTGTACAATTTGCCGAAGGGTATGTATGTGGTATATGGTGCTAAAACCTTTTTTGGAAACCGGCTTGTTCGGGAGGCTGAAAGTTGTTGAGTCTGCATGCGAGACGATTCGTAATGACTCTCGAAAAAAGCTTCGCTGTAATTCCATCTTCATATAATTGTATTAGAAGAAAAACGAGAGGAATTTGTGAACGATCTGGAGGAGGCATATTTTTGGTGACGAAAATGTAGACGTTGGGTTATCTTACGAGAACGAATTGAGGCGAACAATGTTTACTTCAGTAGACAGAATAACTGCTGAAATTCTTGATCGATTCCCACATCTGCAAAATCTAGCGCAAAAATATGCCTTTTTAATACCTGCAGTAATATTGGGCCGGAAGAATATAACTTAGATCATGCTCGTTGGGACATAAATACAGAAGAGTTCCAACATGGGCGCGCACGTCTATGTGCGTTGCAGCTACAACAGACCCAGACTGTAAAAAGAGCTTATTAAGTCCGACTTTCTGGGTTTATTAAAATACGTAATTGAGACCGAACTTGAAGATGGCTTAGCAAAGATTGTCATAATAAAAATAAAAATTAAAACCAAATAAAAAATATTGCTGAGGATTTTTTAACATCTGCCCTTAGTAATGCAAGTTGCGAGAGAAACTATTTTAAACTAAAGTTACTAAAAAATTATCTGAGATCGAGTGCGTCAACATTGAGGCTACCAAAACTTATTCTGGAAATGGAATATGACATACATTTTGATATTGACGATTGTGTTAAAGATTTTGCTTTAAACGAACACGAACCGTACAAGTAACACGAAAAGTAAATTTTAAATCTAATTTTAAAACTAATAGCGACAGAAATAATTAATAAGTCTAGGCACACTGTAACATAAACATTTTATTACATCCAAGTTGATATTAATTGCAGAGAACGTTGACAACCGCTGTAAGTAGCCATTTTAGGAGGTAATTAACGATTCTCTTAATTTATCAAATGTAACATAACGAAAATTGATTCCAATAATACTACAGGTAATTTACTAATCAAGTTACTTTTAGATTTTTAAATTTTATCTGATTATGGTGTAAAGAAATAAAATGATGGGAGGCGCTCTTAAATATATCTAACTATAACAAATATGCTTTTTTGCAATACCTGTAAAGGTTACCAAGTATTAAGCTCTATGTATAATTTAAAATCCAATTGTATGAATCCAATTGTATGAATTAATATATTATCATTATTATTTATTGTTGTATGTACCTAGTGTTAAATTAGTAAAGTATGCCTTGTAAGCAATATGAATTTTAAAAGATAAACTTCCTGTGGGTTTCTTGCCCCATTTCTTCCCATAGATGTATGTTTCCTTCCGAATCAGTGGTAGCTTATATAGACTTTCAATAAGTTGTACCGTGTATATTAATACCGCTGAATAAAATATTTAAGTTTAAAATTAAAATAATTAAAAGGCAGGGGGCAGGGGGGGACGGGGGGGGGGCTGTGAATTTCCGGACGGCCCCGGGCGGCGAAAACCCACGCTACTCCACTGCATGTAGGATGTATGTTTTCTTTAGCAGCGTTGTCTCCAACCTTTATTTATAATCAGAACCCTTTAAGCAACTCTTTAAAAAAATCTTGACAAATAAAATAAAATACTAGTATAATTCAACTACTATAATAATACTGTGCACTGTGTGTAGTGGCACTGAAATTTTTGAAATATCGAAATCACGGGCTACGATTTCATCCAAAAAATACCCTCATCATTCTAATATTAATGAGTATTTTCTTTTCAGATTTAACCGAAGCTATGTGCTGAGGAGCAGTTCAGCCGCTGTTTTCAACAGTCGCTAGGCGGCTTCTTCGCTTCGCGTCATATAAAAGCTTCATCATTCATCTCCGCGTGTACAAAGAGGCGCTGGCGGCCGGCATGGAGCCGCTAAGCGAGAACGGCCTCTGCCTCTCAGAACTGGAGTTGCACGGAGGTGGCCACCTACACGAGTCGGTGGCCGCGTCCGTGGGTTCCGCTATCTCAAGTCTGATGGCACCCTTACACCATGAGCCCCAGCACACGCCCCTGCATCACGCTCCGCCGTTGCACCATGAACCGCTTGAGAAGCTTAAACGTAAGTTTTATTTTAATTTTCCCATGAATTGTTACATCGTGGCTACTACGCTATTGATAATGTTAATTATAATGTCTTTTTTTAATGATACTAATAAATTTAAAATAAAAAAGCACGAAACAATTTACGTGATTAAATTTAAAAAAAAAAAGCTATCGTCGACAGCCAGCACCAAGCGTAGTAATTATATTCTCTTTGGCTAGCACCAGTATCATACTACCAAAAATAACCTTTATTTACATTTTCTTCTTCAAACGTTAATGCTACCTTTTTATAGACGTTATAGAAGTAAAAATTATAAGTGAGCAACACAGTTCATCTGATGGTAAGTGGATCCTGTGGCCAACAGCCCTACATTAGTCAATATTTAAAATTTGGAAGTTAAGAGTGATATATAGTGGTATGTAGGTAAATAGCGTCTTTAATATCTACGACTGATTTGAATGTTGATGAAGGAAGGAATTTTTCGATCGACTTTAGAGTAAATATTTAAAGCCAATATGAATTTATCATATTATCAAATTACCGTTAACAGTAGGACATGTGCATACATTTAATTAAGCGCTGTTTTCAATAAAAATGAAAAAAAAAAATAGATTTAATTAATTATTTAACATACAATTAGATACTTTTAAAGTATCGTGCATCTAGCCTTAAAGGAAACATGACACTGTATCTTGAGACGAAATTTTTCCAAAACGTAGTACTCGAAGCATTGCCAATCTATTTGATGCGTTATCTCCATGAATACCGATGAGAATCTCTTTTATACCGACAAATAAATCCCGTTTTAAACTCAGCTGGGATAGTAAATAAAATAAAGGGGACTTTTCGTGTTTCATTTCACTGTCGTCGCGCCCCCGTATACGATGAAGTCATTACTTTGCCCATTTTATTTTTATTAAGATGTGTTGCTTCTGAGAGAATGGATACCTTAAGGATTTACAGACTAAATAAGTAACACCATTTGCATGAGGATATAATATAGTTTAAATGAATATTACATGCAACAATAATACGTTTTCACCTTTTACCACTCAAAACCGTTTAGAATTTTACATTACCTGGATTACTTTCTTTAATCGTTTAATTATTTTATCTTTGACCCATTATTTTTGAACTCGACAGAAATTATACATTGATTTTTTTAAATGATATAAAAACTATTAGGACCTCAAAAAGGATTTGGTATTTAATTCGACCGTATGTTTTTTACGTGTGTTACCTAATAACTTTTCTCTGGGTGAACCGATTTTGATGTTTTTTTTATCTGAAAGCTTGTGCTTCTCGTGTGGTCCCATATAAGTTTAATCATGATCTGACTAGTAGTTTTTGAGTTATCTTTAAAAATGCATATTTAATTGACTTCGAATACATTGATAATGTTCTCATTTTAATTATATTGAAGTTGTACGAAATGTTTAATTTTATCACTTGTTTATTAATTATATTCTCTCCTAAAATACACAAAATACAACGCACGTGTCTTAAATTGTTCTCAATCGATAATATGATTTGTGGCAATTCTCAAAGTAAAATGGAACAGTCGTCACGGACTATCAGGATGAAGAGCGTAACGGGATGTGGGCCGCGCAATATCATTGCACTGTATACAAAATTAGTGATCATTCACCTCCCAACCCTCGGTGATACGCAACTTTTGTCATCCGTGATGTAACATGTCATTGAGGGGTTTTTAATGTACACCTGTGCTTTCTTTAATTGGCTATTGAGGCGATACAGCAGTAAGCACAGGACGTAAACGGAATATAGAATATAGGGTAATATGGTCATCCGGTTAATATGGTCAATTTCTTATAACTCAAAAACTACAGCCTTGTTTGCATAGGTGGCAGTGTAAGGCGATAGCTCTTCATCGGTCAATCAGTTAATAAAGTTTCAAAAGGGCGCTGCTTTATCGACATTTTGACATATTATATTATAGTAAATATTTTAGTCGATTTTAGTATGGTATAGAGTAGTTAGTTTTTTTTTAAGTTGATTTTTCGAAGTGTTGATTATTATTACCAAGGCTTGTTTGGTATTTTTTTCTTAAAACATTAGTTATAAGAAACGACTTTGTGTTTTTGTCTTTGTCGTCCTCCTAGTTTTGGTTTTATAGGGTGTATATATTTGACCATATTATCCTCACGTACGAGTAACTTATTTTGTTATTCTTAAATCATACTATTTTTTTAACGATAGACATCCTGCAGCTATATTATTGAAGTAAAAATTCTTTACGCACGCTTGACTTGAGGAGTAAGCTGGCGAACGCGTGACGAAAGCGTTACGAAAAGTGTGAGGCGAACGGGAGTTGAGTGGGGGACATAAGCAGGAGAGAGCAGTGAGAGCAGAGCGCGCACCTTTTATTTCCCTCTTTTCTGGTAGTCAGTTATTTTTCGTAATTTTATTTTGTTTTTAATAGTTTTATGAATTAATATTCCGTTTAATACATTAAATTAAATATTCTACATTTAAAGTGAATAAAATTGTAAATTCATTTCAAAGTTCATGTTTTATGAATTTTCGGGTGAATAGTAACATATTACAAAAGGAAGCCTAAATATTTGTGGATAATTAATATATTTATGTATACATCATATATATGCATATATTTTATATATATATATATATATATATATATATATATATATATATATATATATATATATATATATATATATATATATGGATGGAGCTAAAGTAGTTTACTTAAGTCGTGTGGTCATAAGCACACTCGTTTCTACTACGTGGCAGTTCTCCTTTTCTGGGTATATACCTAACTCTTGCCTATTTCTGCCACCAAATGGCAGGGCCAGGACTGCTGTATACCGGTCTGAATGACACAAAATGTCAGTACGATTATAGGCTGTGAAGCATTCCATATCTTAGTCCTCAGAGGTGACAAAAACCTGTACCTTATTCGTTTGAAGTTGGCTGCAGGTGTTCAAGAATGCAGAAGCCACTTATCATCAGGTGGACTGTTATTCAATTGTCCTTTTAGTGTTAATATAATATATTTTATACGTGGTAGGAAACAAGGCAAGTCATCTTAGTCCTCAGGGGTGACAACGCATTTGCATTTCGATTTTTAATCGAGGATAAATGTAGATATGTCTATGGGCCACAGCATCCACTTACCATCAGGTGGTCTGTGTGCTCGTTTTTCACCCTATATTAAATATAAATCTATATTAAAAAAATATTGTTATATTTATTTTTATATTATAGTAATATAATATTGTTGTGTTTCGTATGGTGAAGTTTCGTGTGGAGAACCGAGATAACTTTCTACTTGTAACGAGGCATTGCGTCTTAGGTCTTAGGGGAGGTCTCATTGTTGGATGTAAATGTTTGTGGGCCTCCTCATACATTTACTATCAGATTCAGTTTATTTTACAGTTAAATATGTTTAAGCAGTTGAAGTGTGTCAAATCAAATATCATTAAAACAAATAAATATTTAAAAAAATCTTTCCCGGAGTCTCTTGTAGAAACGAATGGCGCGAGGAGAGAAGCTTAGAGGATTACTTTGGTCTTTTGAGGGAATGGTAAAGTAGATCTCCGTCAGGAGCAAAAGTGTACTGTGAAAGTAGGCCACACTTTCGTGGTTTCTCGCCTTAAAGGTACCTTGATTGAAGTCGGAGTGACAATAGAGGTAACAGAATTGGTTAAATCATGTAAGTTTGACACTGGATAAGCCTTATCCTTTTCTCACCCATTTAGCCAGGTGTTGCAGCCAGCGTTTTTTTTTCTTTGAACCACATCACAAGTAGTAGGGCTTTGTATTTTTAGTTTTTAGTTTTAGTTATCTATATCGATGTAAATATTGTAACTTTTATGAATTAAAGTTACTGTAACATTAAGATGTTTATTCATATTTCCAATTAAAATAAAGTAAGAAATTTTAGGCTAGCTTGTAATAAAATATAGGGACGAAACAAAAGCTAACGATAAATGTTTGCACCAGTTCGTAATAGAAATCAGGACTCGTTCAGATTACTCAGTAAGACTCTGACCACTACATCGGCCGATCGTCTCTTTTAAATAAAACTAAGTAATTTATTGTTATTTAAATACTGTTTTCATTATATTTTTCTGCTTCGACGCGACGTTTTTATGTTTATGTTAGCCGATTTCTGGGAAGCGGCTGAACAGATCATAATGATTTATTTCCTTTACAAAATACTTTATATTTAATTGGTATAAGTTTGAAGAAAAAAATCCATCCCTAAGGGTGGAAAAATACAGAGCTAAAATTTTAATATAACTATTTGGATGACATTTTAGTTGTAACCTTTGTGATTGGGTTTGCGTTTTTTATTAAATATTTAAATTTGTGTAAAATCATATCCCGTCATCTTAGAAATCCACCTGAATTTTAATATAGTAATAGAGACAAATTGGCAACAGCGAGGGGTGCAGTTTTGACGCTCGTCGGGCCAACTAATCGGATAGTTTTTACAAAGGCATCAATATCGGATTACAGCCCCCGGATGTTTAGTTACGCAATTAGTCACACCGCGCCGCTGGGGTCGTCTGTCGTCTGCTCGGAATGTTGCTTTACTTGATAAATAATGTAATATTTATTGAATGTAATTCTAGCATTTTTCCGTGGAATATATTCACAACGAATTGTATGTAAAAATATGTATTAATAAAACCAAAAATGCTTAATTGAGTGTATAAACTTGCATACGTGTGTTTGTTTCGGTGTAGCTTACGAGTTAGAGTAAGACACTCGTAGTTAGTTAGATACGAGTAGTAGTGCGAATCTTGACATATTTTTTTTATTTGCGCTATAATTAAGGCGGATATTTAATAATCAAAAATATTGCGGTTTTTTTACATCCGATTACGTAAAATAAGTAGGAATTTCAGTAATATTTTACTCTCGCTTAGAATGTAAGTCATTTTATAAAATAAGACATTTTATATATACTATAGATGGAACTGAGATTACAAATATTTCTCCATTAATAACGAAAGATCAGTTTACTCCGCTTGTTGTCGCCAATAAACTGTAATTGTTAATTAATTATAATAATATAAATTCAGCCAGCTTTGTTATGTGTGTGTTTTCAGAAATGTGAATGTACTGAAACCAATATTCCCTAAAATCATCTATATTCGAACAATCAATGCGCGTGCGTATACGTGTAGTCCAAGTAGAGGAGTAAAAGATATCCATTTTGCACACGTTGAAAAAAAGATATGATTATGTATTTATATGGTTAGTGCTTTGGTTATAAATTAGTGCTTTAACCAATTGCTTTGCAAGATTTTTATATAGAATAAGGCTGACAAACGGGCACGTAATCCACCTGAAGTAAGTGAATGCTATCCATAGAAATTTACAATTATTTTCTATTAAGAATCAATGTGCAGATGCGTTGTCACAACTGAGGACTAAGATTGAAGGTTTCGTTTACAGTAAAAGACAGCCTCTTTTTCTCTACACTCACCATACGAAACACGGCAGCATTAAGCTGCTATTTCACGCTTGTATTCTTTGAGAGCGTTGTCTTTCCCCGGTCGAGCGAACCCATTTGTGCTATAACCTCGGGTTGAGGCTCTACCACATAACAAATACTTAGTTATCGGTATTATTCTTATAAATCTTTATTTTATCCCAATTTTTATAGACTTTTTATATTATTGTGCTACGATGAATAATAAAAAAGACATGCGAAAGCGGCGTAAACGCACCGGCTCCTAATCCATCACTGACGAACAAAAACAACGCTATCATTTAAAGTCTATTCGGATGAATCGATAATCTATCTCTTTCCATCTCATATTAACGTAGCAGTAGTCTGTCTTTATCCCACATAAAAAACTACCCCTCGGAAAGCAACGAGCCATTATATTGCGATGATTAGTTTGCACTTGCCGCTTTTGCTATTGAATTTAAATGGGGAGATTAAAACGTTATTTTATTTATGTTACAACTCTATTGTCCTCGCTCCATTAGTCAATTTACTGTCAGTGTTGATTTTTTAAATTTTATTATTTTAGGTTTATATAAAAATGGCAGTTTTACTTAAAATCTCATTTTGTAATTTTTTGGAAAATAAGTTGGAAATCTATTTGCATAAGACAAAAAGTCCTATAACTTCTGCGTATGTCATGAGCATGCGGGTTTATCCGTCGGAGATTGTGCTCATATCCCTAGATTTTTATAAAATAGGCGAAAAACACGTTTCATGGCTTTAATTTTAAATTGAGCAGGTTCTGCGAAATCTTTTTTAAAGCCTCGTTCGTTGATTTTGTCGCTGTCGCGGTTTTTTTTTCACCTTAGCAGGCGCTAACTCGACGCCGGCCTTATTATGTTCTGCGGCGAAAAAATGGGAAACTAATTATGTGGGATTGGGGCGAGCTTTTATCAAATCCACACACTTTTCCTTTCAATAACGTGAGAATCTTGCTGCGCTACACCTGCAAAACCGTTGTTATTTGTTTAATTTATTTTTTTTGATCTCATGGGTAACAATGTCGTAACTTCCTGCGTTTTTGTCTGAATTAGATATAAAATAGAAGATTTTCTTCTAATATCGGTTCTACTTTTAGGATTTTATATTTAAAAGTACTTCCGCGCAGGTTTGCTAAAATTGCGTTTCATCGCTATTATCGCCATTGCAGTCTATC